TGATACTGGTGGGAAGTCAGCATTGGGAAAAGCTGAGAGAACAATTTTAGCCTCAGTCTAAAAGGGGATCCTCCTGGCTCAGTTTCCCCATTATGTTACTTTGAAAGGGAATGTTACCCACCTGGCTATTCCTGAGTCTGGCTATGAGGTGGATTTGATACTGCATGGTTGGAAACCTGAATCCAAACAGAGCAAAGGATGTTTTATCCTCTCAAAGTTGGGCCCTAAATCTAGTCCCTGTTTTATATCTGGGCCCTGCAGTCTTTTCTGTCAGATTTGTGTCTTCCAGACTACAACCCATTCACCTACAGTTGGTAGCAAACAGCAGGTACCAGTTAATGTCTCCCCATCGTTCCCTAGATGCAGCTTGTGCTCGGTTCCAGTCAACCTCCTCTTTGGGACCCCCTCAAGGAAGGGACAGCTCTAAGCCCCTTGCCAACAGGAAGCAGTTTCAGAAGCCAAGACCTTCGCCCCTTACCAAAAGAATTTGGGTCCCATTTGTTTGAGGGGGGAATGATAGGGTTGGGATGTGGACCCCAAAAAGGAAAAACCCTGGACTTTCCCTCATGGCCAAATCTCTGGTGTTCTCCTGAGGCTATAATCCCATCAACTGGCCTTTCACTGTGGCTACACCCAATCTCCCCTCCATTGTTTTACCTCCCTTTGGCCCCTGGCCATTTCCCACCCTTAATCCTAGCTAGGCTCCATTCTCCCTTGGCCACAAGGTCCAAGTCCCAGGAGTTCTGTTCACCCTAGCTTACTGGCCACTCCTAGGTCCCTCCCACGGGCTTTCTGTATATAAGGTCCATCTTGTCTCCATTAAGATGCTTAGATTCTTAAAATCTAACCAATAGCTTACTAATGTTCAGACTCCTTAAGAGTCTGCCCAATATGATGGATGTTCTAATAAACCTTTGTTTTTAGTTGAAAGAAGGCTTGGGTCAAATTCTTTCGGGCAGGATCCGCTTGTTGTGATTTTAAACCGCATCAGTTTCATCTCTCTCCAATTCATACTACACAAGCTGACAAAACAATCTTTCAGAGCCACAGACCTAACCATGTCACTTACTCAAAATTCTTCAACAGCATCTTATTGCCCATAGAATAAAATACAAATTTTTCACTGTGGCATTTAAAGCCTTCCACAAACTGGCTCAATCCTCCCTTTATAGCTTTATTTTATATTACTCCCCTTCATACAACTTTATGTTCCAGCCAAACTGACCTATTAGCTATTCTATGAACTCAAGATTTCATTTCCTATCTCCATTCCTTCACACAAGAAGTCTCTCTCCATCCTCAACTTCAATTGTTAAAATAAATCCTTACTTCTTTCAAAACTCAGCTCAAGGAGGAGCTAGGTGGCGCAGTGGATAGAGCATCGGCCCTGGAGTCAGGAGAACCTGAGTTCAAATCCGGCCTCAGACACTTGACAGTTACTAGCTGTGTGACCCTGGGCAAGTCATTTAACCCCACTGCCTGGCCAAAAAAAAGAAAAAAAAAACTCAGCTCAAATACTTTTTTTTTTTTTTTACCTAATTCCCCACAGTTGTTAATACTCTCTCAAATACCTTGTATTTTCTCATGGATGTAATCAGAGCCCAAGTGCCTCCAACACCTATTCTCTGGAACACTATGTACATAAAAAGGCTTAATAAATGTAGAGTTAAATTGAATGTATACCTAACTGTGGAACTGAATGAAAAATATGAGGACTGCTAGGCACTACTTGGCATCTGACTACCATTATTGCTTTCTATATAAACCTGGCTGTCAGGAAGTTAAAATTATCTGACTCCAGACTTATATCATTAACACTTTTATTCTCTTCTATATGTGGAAAATTCTTTCAGGACATGGGAATACAGTAAGTATACTGGATGTATACTCTCTGTATCTGGAAGATCTGGGGAAGCCAATGAAAAGAACACAAAATAAGAAGGTACAATCTATATCATTGAAGGGAGTGTCATTACCCTACATCACCAGAGGGAGATCACAGATCCATCAAAGTACATTGAGTCTGATATACTAAAAAATTCAAAATCCTAACCCACTTTACCACAAATGTCATGTCAGTCTAAACAAGAGTACCAAGAGAATCCAGATAAGATCATTTTAACCAGATAAGCAGAGTTCTCAAATGTGTGGGCCTAGTATGTAGCTCAGGCTGCTGAACATTCATTCACACCAACCCAATAACACAAAATCAAAAGTGAAAAATAAGGAGACCTCTTTTTACCTCGGAATTTTTTTGTGTGACTGAGGTCTGGAAAAGGTTCTTGCATACATCCCACACAAACCATGCTACACTGTCTAATTTCCATTTCTCTCTCTCCATGTGTGGTACTTTCACCTCAAAGGGCTTCAAATAAAGATGAAGGTAGATGGCACCCAAGAGAGTCAAACAGGTTGCAGGCAGAGAAGAAACTAAGAAATGTTTAAACTTGGGCAAAGAAGGGTGGAATTGGAGGAGCAGGAGAAACATACCTTGGGGCAGAAGGAATTTTACTCTTTTTAGGAAAAGAGAAGGAGAGGAATCAATCTGGGGCCTGGAGTGGATCCACTAGCTGGAGAGGGAAGGAGATAAACCTCAGGGCCCAGATGACAAACCTTCAGTAGCTTCACCCCGGTCAAGATTTGGTTCCAGATCAGAGACTAGTCTCCAGAAAGACAGTGGGAATGATTAAATCTTGGAAAAGAGAACCAGCAGATTAATGAAACCCAGAAACCCCAGGGAAGAAGGGCCCCCAGTGAGTTCGGAAGTCTGAGCCCCTGACAAAATTTGATAAAGGAAGGGAGGGGTGGGAGATGGGGGGGCCCTACACTGAAGATGGAGAATGCGATCTGTAGCAATGGGGAGTGGGTTCATTAAAAGAAGTCTGCGGCTTACAGAGTGAGGCAAGACAACAAGAGGCCCTCCGTGGCTAGACAGGGTTAGGGTCGGTGCTGCCCCGTGACTGGAAACTGAGGGCAGCCCCTGGGCTATGACTGCGGGGGAAGATGAGGAAGGGGGAGAGGGGCGGGGCAGAGACAGTGGGAGCAGGTTAAATTCGGTCCTTAATTTGGGGGGAAGGGCCAGGGTCGATTCCGCGATTGGGGGGGGAGGGGGGTTTGGGGGTGGAAGGAAGGAAATGTCTATGGCCTAAATTGGGTTGGAGGGTTGGGGGAACAGGGAGGGAAAGGGAGGAAGGGCCAGGGTCTAGGATGGGAGGACGGGGAGGATGCGAGTCTAAGACTGAGGACTCGGGAGGATCGGGGTCTGTGACTAGGGAGGAAGAGAATCCGCGTCAGTGACTTAGAGAAAGGTTCGGAAGGCCTGGGTCTCTGATTGGGGGGGGGGGAGAGCCCGAGTCCGACACTGAGGGGCAGGAGAGTTGTGGTGTGGGCCTGGGGGGCGGGGACGACCGGGGTCTGTGATTGGAAGAGGGGATGGCAGGGGTCGGT